GATAGGTGGGGTATAAATAAATAAATAAATAAATAAATAAATAAATAAATAAATAAATAAATAAATAAATAAATAAATAAATAAGGGGAATTCTAGATGAGAGTGACCCTGTCCTTCTAGAATTCTTGATTTCAAAGGAAACAGAAGCAGAGTGTAGCCACAGAGGTCTGCAGGATATTAAAAAAAGCCAACTGTAATAAACTCAGAGCAAGGATAAGGAAGGGCCCATGGCAGGAGATCCTAACAAGAAAAGGAGTCCAAGAAGGGTGCGAGATTCTAGAAAAAGAGATGGAGGCATAGATGTTGCCCTCTGGAGAGAATGAGAGAGACTTGACAAAAACTCTGTCTTTCTCTCAGGTTACAAAAACATATGACAGGCAAATTTAACAAGAAAAATACTTTGTAGTTAAGCATTTAACTTAAATAGCTTAACTTCACCATAATGGCATATACATCACATATAATGGCTGGTGACTCATGAACCCACTGTCAGCCTGACGCCCTTAAGCAAAGGTGCAGCAATGAACTGCTCTGCCTGAGCTGCTTTTTATACAAACTTCAGCCACTACAGTCGCAGGTGCCTGCCCCTGGCTACTGCAGCCTCAAACTTTCCCAGTGAATCAGCTTCAGGTGTTTGGCTGACCTACATGCAGTTTGTTCCTCAGGCTTTCCTACATGAGCATGTTCAAGACTTTATTTACTGTATTTCTCAGTAAATTAAGCATGGGACATTCCAGTTCTGCTAGACAATGACACCTGTCTTTCTACAGGAAGTGGCTTATTACGTAAATAGATCAGCAACATTATCCTTGCTTAGGCAAAATTCTGCTTTTAACTTCCCATCTTGAACAGCCTGTCTCACATTAAAAAAATCAATACAGATATGTTTAATTCTACCTTTAACACTGTCGTTAGCAGACAAACTAATACATGCCATGTTATCAACATATACCGGTTCAGGTTCAGTTACATTTATATACAAATCCTTTAGCAGCTGTTTTATCCAAACCAGTTCTTTTCACAACTCAGCTCATGTAAAGAACCAAACTGTGCTTCTGTAGAACTTGAGGAAATTCCAATTAGTTTTCTGGATTTCCACATTACACAAGCATCACCCAGATAGATCACCATACCAGAAACTGATTTTCTATCTTTTGGATCGGTAGCCCACTCTGCATCTGAATACACTTTCAGATCAAGATTCTTTGAAACATTCAGCTTTAACCTCTGATCCATTGTACCTTTTAAACATCTTGAGGGGGGGGGGGCTCACTACTCTTGTTAGACCACTGTAATGGACTCTACGTGGGGTTGCCTTTGAGATTGATGCAGAAACTTCAAATGGTGCAAAATGCGGCAGCCAGGCTTCTTAGTGGGGTGAGAAAATATCAGCATATCTCTCCCACCCTGGCTGCTTTGCATTGGTTGCCCATTCGTTTCCGCATTGATTTCAAAGTATT